CACTCAAGATAATTATCAACAATTCTCTAATACTGTCTTCTTTATCTAATAGTCTGTTTATATTCAGATTTTCCCAGTTATCCCAGGAATGTGTTTTTTTTAAGTTTTTGTGTTTTTTTTTTTTTAAATCTGAATCCAGTCAGGTTTCAAGATTGCTTTTGTTCTCTCTCTTCAGGTTTTGTTTATTCACTTTTTAAAATCTAGGAGCACCTTGTTGTTTTCCATGGCGGCATCGTATTCTGTTCTGTGAATGTATCACGGTTGATTTTTAGGTTGCGGGCATTCCTTTCGTGGCTCCTCTAACAAGTGGTATTTAGTCCCAAAGAGTTTGAGGCACCGGTAGCCACAGTAGAAGCCTGTGGTCAGTTAATGAAAATAAAGTGTTCCAAAGCCAAACTTGGTTGGCAGGAGAATTACCGAAGGCTGCATCCTTTCCCCTTGAAGGGAGATAGATTATCGTTCTAGTCTGTTCAGGTTCCTATAACAAAATACCATAAACTGTGTGGCTTATGAACCTCAGAAATCGATTTCTCATACTTCTGGAGGCTGGAAGTCTGATCAGGGTACCAGCAGGGTCAAGTGCAGACCCTTTTCCGGGTCACAGGGCAGGAAGGGCTAGGGAGCTCTCTGAGGCCTCCGATTTCATCAGAGCCTAATCTCCTCCTAAAGGCCCCACCTCCTAATACCATCCCATCAGACATGAATTTGAGGGAGACACAAGCATTCAGACCATAGCAATAATCTGTTGCTTCTCTGATTCTCTGATTTCTTTGGAGAGGCTACAGTCTGGGGCTCAGCTGAGAGCAAGGTCCTCTCTTTGTAACCACCCATCCTCACTTTGCACTTCATCAGCAGCCGTGGACCCTTTTGGTAACACAAGTCCCCAGCTGGCTAGGGGAAACTCCTGGGTTGTGAACTTCCCGCACTCCCAGCACACCCCTCCCCCGTGCAGCTGTTCTCACTTCAGCTTGTCCCTCCCTCCTCGTTTCCTGGAGCCCAAGGCTAACGCTCCTCTATGTGCTCTGGCTCCCAGCCCTCCTGTCCGCTTCAGGACCTCTCACCATCCAGTGCCTCCTGCCCCTCTTGCTTCTTCAACCTCCCTCTCCCCACTGGCACCTTCCCTCCACCTATAACTATGTTCAAGTATCTCCCAATTCTATCAATACTCTCCTTGAGCTACGACTTCCATCTCTCGCCATCCGTTCACTCTTGAAAGAGTACCATGGACAGGGGTCTGCAAAGTGGGCTGCATAAGGTGTTCTATTTGGGTGCGTAAAGAGAATATCAGCGTTTCTATCCCTTTTAGAATTTCATCCATTTACTTTTCTCTGTTTGTATTTCATATACATGTATATCATTTGCCTTTCAACTCTTCTCATCTTCTCCAGCCTCCTTGAGATCCAGACCCACATTCCCACTGATTTATGGGCATTTCTGCGAGGTTCTCACACTGGGCTCACAAACTCAGCCCGGTCTCAGCTTTCCTTATGCCCCTCGTCCTCCAACCTGCTTCCTTGACTGTCGGCCCCAACTTAGGGAGGAATCCCAACATCCCACCAGCCAGCTAGGCCATCAGCCTGGGGGTCATCTTTGACCTGTCCTGTCACTCCTGCTTACCCACCCCCACCCCCACCATCTGTGTCAGTTACTCAGTCCTGGTGATACAACTTCCTTAGGTTATCTCAAACCTGCGCATCCTCTGTTCCAGAGGCCTGGAGAACTTTACCCGTCTACTCTTTTGGTTCTGAAAAAAGATGTTGACTTGGACGTGAGAAGGAAGTTATGACTTATGTAGCTTAAAATGTTTTTATTGCCTTTGGCTTTCCATTGCAGTGATGTAGGACTTTCTGTCTAAAGCCTCGGGAATCCCCCAGCTGAAAAGGAGCCCAGATATGTACATTAGACTCGAGTTCCAGATGCGCGTTCTGGAGGGCAGAGACGAATTAGCCAAGTGGAACTTCTTCTGGGGGAAGTAAGACACTTCACAGATAGTGTTTATGAAACGGGTATCTTGCAATAATTAAGTGAGATAAGACACATGAAAGTATTTAACGCAGTGCGTGGTACATAAGTACTTTCTAAATATTCTTTGTTATTAAATGTCCACTGGTAGGTTCTTGCGTTCAGCTCCCTTCCCTGCCACTTGTGCGGTTTTCTTATGTTGCCCTCCTTCTCCTTCATCCCTTTCCCTTCCTCTCCCTGGCCTTAGCTGTCAGCGGTGCCCACACCTAGTTGAACACTCTCTGTATCCTTCTGAGGTAGAGAACTCTTGGAATAGGGGGAGAGGCCGCCCTCAGAGGAAAGACGCTGCTGTTGGGGCCGGTCTCCTGGCCACCCCAGCTGAGATCTGTGACCGAGGTGTCTCCAGAGTCCCGGTGGGAGCTGAGAGACCTGTATTGCAGGCCAAGCTTGGCCACTGTGAGGGCGGGCATCACGTGAACAGGGAGGGACTGGGTCCAGGCCCCAGGTGGAGGACAATTGCTGATCCTGTTGTTGCTAATGTGCTTCTATTACCACTCCCCTTGTTAACAGGGGCTCAGTTCCACTGCGCATCTCCCCTGCGCATCTCCCAGGTGTCAGGATTTTGTGGGAGGGAAGGAGCGGGGCATAGGGTAGGGGAGTGTACAAGCTAAGAGTATAAACTCGAGAGCCAGACTGCCTGGGTTTGAATCCTGATTCTGTCACCAGATGAGGCCTGTGCCCTTGGGTAAGTTATCTAACTTCTCTGTGCCTCAGTTTCTCATCTCTAAAGTGGAGTTAATGGGAACAGTTACAGGTGAATTAATAGGTGAACTGACAGTTAACAAAATGCTTAATGGTTCCTGGCATGCAATAAGGATTCTACAAATGTTTGTTTTAGTAAAATTTTTAAAAATGCTTTTACAGCAATCTTATAACAGCATAACTATTTTAATTTTACTGGTGCCAAAACTGGGATGGAGAGGTTAAGTGACTCGCCCGAGGCCACAGGGATATTAACTGGCGGAATCAAGTCTAGAATAGGAATTTGGCAGACTCGAAAGTCCTTGCTTGCGGCCGCAATGCTGAACTGCCTCCCTGGACCTGCCTGGTGGGGAGTTTGCTTTCTAGAAGGGCTGTGAGGGAAGGGAAAGCAAGTGGGCACCGTGAGTCTAGGTGGGTAAATAGTGGCTGGAGTCTGAGACTTCAGCAATGGGGATACTGCTTGGGGACCTGGCTGGGACCCGGGTGAGCCCAGTTCTCTGCTCCCTGCTGTGGGAGCAGCAGGGAGAGGTCTAGTCCCTTAGGCGCCAGAGAGCTGAGCCTTCCCGAGCCCTTTGCCTTCTTGCCTGCTTTCTGTGTGACCGCAGTCCAGTCAGTTAATTTAAGGTAGTAGAGTGTCCCAGACCATGTTACTCTGAGGGTCCCCGTGGGCCTCTCAGGCCTCCAAAGTTACCTCCTGCTGGTGGTTTCCTCCACTGTGAAACCCCATGACCCCTTAAAGCTACTCCGGCGAGGTCTACAGAGACGCTTGGAACCTCATTTCTCTTTCTGGGATTTTACATTTCTTTCTGTGAGCATAAAATAATAGTCGATTATCATCTGGGTCCTTGGGAAATTTTCCTTCTGAGTCGGTTTTTATTTTCAAGAGCCAGACCGGTGACTCTGTCCAGGGTCTGCAGTCATCTCAGCTCCCATTCTGGGAGCTCTGCCATCTTTTGGTTTGGGCTCTTGGGTTCCTGGGTGTCGGGAGCCCAGAACTGGGTCCTCTCATGAGCTCACATGTTTGGTTCTGCGCTCGCCCTGTTGGGCACAGTGAGGCAGCTGACCCTTGCCCTGCGTGTCCTTGTTTCTCTGGGCTTCCCCTTGGCGGTGGGGGAGGGGGGAGGTGTGTGGGTGTGCGTGTGTGTATCTGTGTGTGTGTGTCTGTGTAGGGCTGTGTAAGCCCCGGAGGCCAGGCCTCTTGCCAGCAGCTGCAGTTCTTTTCCCAAAATTGAGTCAGCCGCTCAGCTGTTTCCACTCTCCCTCCACTGCCAAGCGCTGCAGCGCGGTCCCCGTGCCAGCTTGAAAGCGCACTCCGCTTTGGTAATTTAGAGCTTCCATTTTGAGAGAACTGGGAAACAGGAGTGAATGAGTGGGCACGTTGGATGGAAGGAGGGTGGGGACATTCTTTTTGGCAAAAGCTACGCCAGAACTGGCCCAGCTGCTTGGTCTTCACCCAAAATTAGGGCTAACCCTGGACTGACCCCAAGTATCCAGTGGAGAAACTCTTTATTCTTGGATCTAGACCTAACCAGACCTGGCAATCAATATTTTTTAATCTGCAAAATGGGAATAATAAATCCTAGCCCATATGTTCTTCATGTCAAATGAGAAATAAGCTTTTAAGTAGTCCGTCAGCTACTCACCAGGAGCAGGAAGTGATGCAAGCCTGTGTTTCTTCAAGTATATTTCTGCAGAACACTAAGTGCTGTTTTTTTTTTTACAGAGGCACTGGCTAAATAAGTTTGGGCCACACTGGATAAACAGTGTTAAGCAGCCTTCTTTTTTTTTTTTTTTTTTTTTTTTTTTGCGGTACGCAGGCCTCTCACTGTTGTGGCCCCTCCCGTTGCGGAGCACAGGCTCCGGACGCGCAGGCTCAGCT